CCCTCCTGTGTTCTCGGTCCACCCTGATCTCCTAACCAGTTTTTTTCATATCTTCTTTCTTTCCTTCAGGGGCACAATCTGTGCCTCTGGACACACACCAGGCAGAGCCCCCAAGATCACACATGCAAGCACACAGCACACACTATCTGCTGTGCATTTTCTTCACTTACCAGAGGTTGGAGGTCCATCCATATAAGTACCCGCAGAGCTGCTGCACTTTTCTGAACACATGTGCCGTCCTCCCTGACATGAACGAATCTTTAGATATTTAACCAGTCCCCCACTGGGCAGCTGGGTGGTTCCCAATCCTTTGCCAGGCTGCCTGGTGAGGATCTAGCCTGTCTCCTTTCTACTTTGCCCACTTACCTCCCACCCTCACCACCACCACTGTCTCCCCACACCAAATCCCTCTCCTGTCCCTGAACCCATCAAGCCTCCTCTTGCTTCGGGCTTTGTGTTTGCTGTTCTACAAGAGAAGTGCTTTTGTCCTGCTTCTTGGCAAACGGCTTGCTCCTTTTCTTGGCTAGTCAATGAAATGTCACCCCCTAGAGTGACCTCCCTGACCACCCCATCTAAAATGGTCTCCCCTGGTTACCACCTCTCTCATCTCTTTCATCATTTCTTTCCTTCAGAGCATTTCTCCCAATTATCTGGTTTAATTGTTTCCATGTCTACTGTTCATCTGTAAGCTCCATAAAAGCAGTGGCTCTCTCTGTCCTGAGTCCCACAGCTACATCCACAGGACCCAGCAGAGCACTGAGAATGATCAATAAAGATCTTTTGGGCTGGGCGCAATGGCTCACACTTGTAATCTCAACCCTTTGGGAGGACAAGGCAGGCAGATGGCTTGAGCCCAGGAGCTCGGGACCAGCCTGAGCAATATGGTGAAACCCTGTCTCTATAAAAAACACAAAAATTAGCAGAGCATGGTAATTTCCCATCCTCAAAAGGATGGGAAAAATAGCACACCTGTAGTCCCAGCTACTCAAGAGGTGGAGGCGGGAGGATCACTTGAATCCGGTAGGTGGAGACTGAAGTGAGCCAGGGTTGCACCACTGCACTCCAGACTGGGCAACAAAGTGAGACCCCATACAAAAAAAAAAAAAAAGTTTTTTTTTAATCAATGAATTGGCTGACTGAAGGCAGAACACTGAATGCTTACAAAGTACCAGGTACCATGCTAGGTACCTACCATGCATTACTGCATTTAGTTCTCTCAGTATCTTACAGATGAGAAAACAGATATTAGAAAGTAATCTCTAGGTCTGGTCCAGTGGCTCACGCCTATAATCCCAGCACTTTGGGAGGCCAAGGCGGGAGGATCACTTAAGCTCAGGAGTTTAAGACTAACCTTGGCAACATAGGGAGACCCCATCTCTACAAAAAATACAAAAATTAGCCAGTCGTGGTGGTGCACACCTGTGGCCCCATCTATTTGGGAGGCTGAGGTGGGAGAATCACTTGAGCTCGGGAGACTGAGGCAGCAGTGAGCCATGACTGCACCACTGCACTCCAGCCTGGGGCAACAGAGCGAGACTCCATCACAAAAAAAAAAAAAATTTTTGAGACAGGGTCTCGCTCTGTCACCCAGGCTGGAGCACAGTGACATGATCTTGGCTCACTGCAACCTCCACCTCCCAGGTTCAAGCAATTCTTCTGCCTCAGCCTCCCAAGTAGCTGGGACTACAGGCATGCACCACCACGTCCAGATAATTTTTGTATTTTTAGTAGAGACAGGGTTTCACCATATTGGCAAGACTGGTCTCGAACTCCTGACCTCGTGATCCACCTGCCTCAGCCTCCCAAAGTGCTAGGATTACAGGTGTGAGCCACTGCACCCAGCCCTCAAAAAATTTTTTAAAAAAGAAAGCAATCTCTCTTAAGAGATGGAGTGCACGTTCCAACTCAGACCTAATTCTAGATCCTATGTTATATCATTTAAGGGGAAAGGTTAAAATAGAAAATACTCCAAGCTGGTTAAAATAGAAAATACTCCAAGCTGGGTAAAATACAGTAGTTAGAGCTATCACACCCTTCATGCATTAAAAAAGAGCTATAAAGCCAGGCAGGTGGCTCACGCCTGTAATCTCAGCACTTTGGGAGGCCGAGGCAGGTGGATCACGAGGTCAGGAGTTCAAGACCAGCCCGGCCAAGATGGTGAAACCCCGTCTCTACTAAAAATATAAAAATTAGCCAGGCGTGGTGGCAGGTGCCTGTAATCCCAGCTACTTGGGAGGCTGAGGCAGAGAATTGCTTGAACCCAGGAGGCGGAGGTTGCAGTGAGTTGAGATGGCGCCACTACACTCCAGCCTGGGCAACAGAGCAAGACTGTCTCAAATTCAAAAAAAAAAAAAAAAAAAAAAAAGAGCTATGAATAAATAAAAATAGGCTGGGTGCAGTGGCTCATGCCTATAATCCCAGCACTTTGGGAGGCCAAGGCAGGTGGATCATTTGAGGTCAGGAGTTCTAGACAACCCTGGCGAATATGGCGAAACCCTGTCTCTACTAAAAACACAAAAATTAGCCAGGTGTGGTGGTGGGTGCCTGTAATCCCAGCTACTCGGGAGCCTGAAACAGGAGAACTGCTTGAACCCGGGAGGCGGAGGTTGCAGTGAACCGAGATTCCCCTACTGCTCTCCAATCTGGGCAACAGAGCGAGACTCCGTCTCAAATAATTAATAAATAAATAAATAAATAAATGAACTAGCACACCTAAACTCAGAGGTATACACAAAGGATGGGAAAAATAAACAACTTACTGGTAAGAGTGGTTCTCTTACTCAAAGGAGAGGGGCATTAGGTGGGCAATTACCTCCCAGACTTCATTTTTTTTGTCTGCAGAGTAAAAAGATTATGTGTATTCAAAGTGTAAAGAAGAATGTGGGAAATTATTAAAAGGATAGTTGAGCTCACCCTTTTTACAGTATTGTATATGTTGCAGTTCAGCATCTCAATGCTCACACTCATACAAGTATCTTTTTTTTTTTTCCAAAGATGGGGTCTCACTCTGTTACCCCGGCTGGAGTGCAGTGGCGTGATCATAGTTCACTGCAGCCTCAATCTCCTACCTAGGCTTAAGCGATCCTCCTGCCTCAGCCTCCAAAGTTGCTGGGACTACAGGTGGGCACCATCACACCTAGCTAATTTTCTTAGTTTTTATAGAGACAGGGTCTTGCTATGTTGCCCAGTCTGGTCTTGAATTCCTGGCCTTAAGAGATAGATCCTCCTGCCTCAGCCTCCCAAACCCCTAGGATTATGGGCGTGAGCCACTGCACCAAGCCACAAGTATCTTTTTTATCCCACATTATCTTATATGAAGCCATTAACTTGTACCGCATAATCCTTTTTATTCATAACTCAAGTCTTCCTGTAATTTTTCTCTCTTCTTAAATTGTCTCATTACCACAGACATAAAATACCTGGCATTTATCTGTAAATATCTCTCATCTTATTCCAGGGTTTCCAAAACCACATTCCTCCTCCCTGTTTTTGGACATGTTTCAAAGACAACTAGTTTTCAAGATAAAAATCTTTTCCTCTTCTACACAAAGGATTTATAATCTAGTTAATGGTCACTGTAGTGACATGACATTAACACTGATGAACAGAGACAAATCAGAACCTTAAACAATGAACAAGGCAGTTGATCCTGACAGCTAGAAAGCAGCAAGACACTGTTGACTTAACTTTTATAAAGTTATTGTTTCCGGGTCACCTTCTTAGGCAGAGACTGGAAATCAAAGACTAATAGAAGAATGGTGTCATTCAAGAGACAAGCCAGGTACGGAATCTAAGACCCTCCACTTAAGCAGCTTCTCTGAATCCCAATTTCTTTTTTTCTTTTCCTTTTTTTTTTTTTTTTTTTTTTTAAGACAGAGTCTGAGGCCAGGCGCGGTGGCTCACGCCTACAATTTCAGCGCTTTGGGAGGCTGAGACAGGCAGACCATCACGGCCACCATGGTGAAACCCCGTCTCTACTAAAAATAGAAAAGTCAGCCGGGTGTAGTGACAGGCGCCTGTAGTCCCAGCTACTTGGGAGGCTGAGGCAGAGCAATCACTTGAACCCGGGAGGCGGAGGTTGCAGTGAGCCGAGATGATGTCCCTGCACTCCAGCCTGGGCAACAAGAGCAAAAACTCCGTCTCAAAAAAAAAAGAAGAAGAAGAAGAAGAAGAAGAAGACAGAGTCTGGCTCTGTCGCCCAGGCTGGAGTGCAGTGGCATGATCTCGGTTCACTGCAACCTCCGCCTCCCGGGTTCAAGTGATTCTCCTGCCTCAGCCTCCCGAGTAGCTGGGATTACAGATGAGCGCCGCCACGACTGGCTAATTTTTGTTTTTTGTTTTGTTTCGTTTTGTTTTAGTAGAGACGGAGTTTCATCATGTTGGCCAGGCTGGTGTTGAACTGCTGACCTCAAAGGATCCACAGGCCTCGGCCTCCCAAAGTGGTGGGATTGCAGGCATGAGACACCGTGCCCGACCTGAAGCTCAATTTCCTCATGTATTGATTAATCGACATAATTTATATGGAGTTCTTAGTATAGAGCCTAGTATCCAAGAAACATCAAACAAACGGAATAGAAATCAAGCACCAAAGCACTGAAGACATTCCCTTCAACAACTATTATATATATGTATGTATAAATTTGTGTAAAGGTAGAAATAAAGCGGTGGACAAAAAGGTAACAACTGAATGATTTTGCTCACCCCAGGAACCACTCCTCCCTATAAACTTTTCAGTAACAGTTACCACGAGATAGCCTACCATCTTACATTTCAAGAAAACACTAAAAACTCCGGGGACACATTCCCATTATCTCCTGTCAAAACTGAGAATAAACAGGACACATCCTGCGAAGAAGAGTAAGGAGGGAATGACGAATAATTTGACCAAATTCCTTGATCGAGTTCATGCTACCAGAAAACAAAACCAGTCATTCCACTGAGACCACGCTTCTTCTTTGACCTCTATACATCCTTCCCAAAGAGCTTCCTTCCCTACCTACCTGAAAAGCATCCCCTCTCTCCTGGTCCGAACGACAAGCTCTTTTCTGATCAAGTCAGAATCTCCTAACCCACGGCTGGAGAACAGGCTGGCGAGGAGCACAAAAGCCGCCGCCGCGTGGATCCAGGCCGGGCCGCAGGGTCCCCCGGGGGTCCTTCTCCTCCCCATCCTCCCCATCGCAGCCTCCCCGTGACCGCCGGGACGCCAGGCCCGGGCCCAGGGAGGAGATGGAGGGGGCGAGCGGCCGACCCTGCCTAGTCGCTCCGCCCAAGGGGGGCCGCCACCTACATCTCCCCACCGCCCTCCCGACCGGGGAAGCCCCTCGGATTGGACCCGCCCCCGCCCCCGCCCCCGCCCCCGCCCCCGCCCCCGCCCCTAGCAGGTCTTCGGCCCCACGCATCACGGCTCGCCCACCCGAGATCCGCAGTGGTTGCAGCTCTCCAGCCCCGGCTCCGCTCGCGGATTCCGCCTGGCTACGCAGCCGGCCGCCCCCGCCGCCAGCTCACCCCTGGCGCCGCGGCCAGGGTTTCCGGACGCCCACGTGACCCTCCCGTCCCGGGGCACGCTGGGAGTTGTAGTCCCTCGGCGCGGCCTCACCTGCCGGCGCGGAGAAGGGCGAGGAGGGCGGAGGCTGAGAGCCCAGAGAACTCGGTTGCTGCAGACCCGGCCAGGAATGTTAGCTGCAAACACCAGCGGTAGAGAAAAGAAACGATATGGGGAGAACTGGTGCATACTTCCCCCCACCCCCCAAAAAAGCAGTATTCGGTCTTTGTTTTTATAAAAAGTTACATGCTGCTAAGTGTGCCACTGACCAGCCTAAATTTTAGGTGTCTAATTAAATGCAGGCCTGGCACAGTGGGCTCGCGCCTGTAATCCAACACTTTAGGAGGTCGAGAAGGGAGGATCATTTGAACCCAGTAGTTCAAGACCAGCCTGAGCAACATAGCCAGACCTCATCTCTACAAAGAATTTAAAAATTACCCAGGGGTAGTGGCATGTGCCTGTGGTCCCTGCTACTGGGGCGACCGAGGTGCAAGGATCGCTTGAGCCCAAAAGTTTGAGGCTGGCAGCTGTGATTGCTCCACTGCACTCCAGCCTGGGCAACAGAAGGAGACCCTGCCTCCTAAAATAAAAATAAAAATAAAAAAATAAAATAAAATCCGGCACAAGTGGCTCACACCAGTAATCCTAACACTTTGGGAGGCCGAAGTAGGAGCATCATTTGTGGACAAGAGTTTGAGACCAGCCTGGGCAAGATAGTGAGAGCCCACCACCACCACCACCAGCACCGCAGCCGTTTCTTAAACAAAGGGAAAAAATACAGACACTTATCCGAATTTTAAAGAAAAAAAAAAACTTCTCTTAACCCAGAAAATCTCCACAACAACCATTACATACGATAAACGATCACTAGTCTTCAAATAACAGAACTTGACAACACCTTTTGTCAAACATACTTCCTCCTAACTTAATAGTAGTAATTGGGGAGACCACTCACGTTGGCTTTATCCAGAAGCAAAACAAACTTCACATAACTTTTTGTTGTTGTTGTTGTTCATTTTTTAAACTTCGCATATCTTTTTTGTTTTGTTTTGTTTTTGAGGCGGAGTCTCGCTTTGTCACCCAGGCTGGAGTGCAGTGGCGCGATCTCGGCTCACTGCAAGCTCTGCCTCCCAGGTTCACACCATTCTCCTGCCTCAGCCTCCCGAGTAGCTGGGACTACAGGCGCCCGCCACCTCGCCCGGCTAGTTTTTTCGTATTTTTAGTAGAGACAGGGTTTCACTGTGTTAGCCAGGATGGTCTCGATCTGCTTACCTCCTGATCTGCCCGCCTCGGCCTTCCGAAGTGCTGGGATTACAGGCGTGAGCCACCTCGCCAGGCCAAATTTCGCATATCTTTATAGCAGGAGGTAGTTTTATAAGTTGAGCACGGCGCCCATGCCCATTAAGTGTAGTCTCCTACCCTCCCGTAGGAACTGGGAGATAAAGGCACTAACTCCACTGCATTTCAAAAAGATGACCCCCAAGTCCTTGAGGACACATTTCTGAGTTGTGATACTGGCAAGAGGCTCATTTTGCCATTATAAAGATTTGTATACATTTGAAAAGGACAGAGAAAGAAATTTTGAAACAAAAGAGAGAAGGCTGAGAAGTCTCTATTTTCGGCACAGGAATTAAGCCTGTTATGTTTCATTTTTATTTGCCCTTATACCGTGGTAGTTTTGTCTCTAGGCATCCAAGGAGAAATATGATGTCAGGGTGAGTAAAAATAAATGAGCCAAATATGTGACTTTTCTTTTTAAAAATATATTGTGAATCGTTTATTTTTCAGCCTAAAAAAGGAAGCAAATTCTGACACACGCTACAACACAGATGAATCTTAAAAAACATTCTGCTAAGTGAAATAAGTGAGATATAAAAGGACCAGTACAGGACAATTACACTTACATGAAGTAGCCAGAATAGTCAAATTCATAGAGTCGGAAAGTAACACAGTGGTTGCCCGTGGCTGGAGGGAAGGGGAAATGAGAAATTGTTGTTTAATGGCTATGGAGTTTCTATTTGGGATGACAAAAAAGTCCTGGAGAGGGATGGTGATGTTGGTTGCACAACAATGTATTTAATGCCATTGAATTGTACACTTAAAAATGGTTAAAATGGTAAATATATATACATAGAGTGAAATACATACTTTTTTGTGTTATAGTTCTATATGGGTGTATACATATATATGTGTGTGTGTATACTATCAAGTATATGACCTGTGTCACCACCACTCAGGGCTAGAATGCCTTCTTAGCCACGTGGTGGTGTGGACCTGAAGTCCCAGCTGCTAGGGAGGTTGAGGCAGGAGGATCACTTCAGCCCTGCCTTTGGAGGCTACAGTGAGCTATGATTGTGCCACTGCACTGCAGCCTGGATGACAGAGAGAGACCCAATCTCTGAAAAAAGAAAAAAAAGTGTCTATATACACACATATTTCTACATATGAATGCCTTCTTTCCTGTAGCCCAAGCTATGCTCTTTGTATTTATAGTGACCTTGGTGGAGAGGGTCGGGTGGTAGACAGAGGCAGCATCTCTCTCTCCTTGACTTCCAAAACCATCAAGATATTTAAATATTTGTAAAATTTGTTTTCTACCTGTAGATGTTCTCCAAGTGCTCAGTGGGTCTGAGTCAGGTGGCTTTTTTTTTTTTAAACAGTAACCACCCGGGGTGCAGTGGCTCACCCCTGTAATCCCAGCACTTTGGGAGGCCAAGGTGGGCAGATCACCTGAGGTCAGGAGTTCGAGACCAGCCTGGCTAACATAGTGAAACCCCATCTCTACTAAAAATACAAAAATTAGCTGAGTGTGGTGGTGGGTGCCTATAATCCCAACTACTCGGGAGGCTGAGGCAGGAGAATCGCTTGAACCCAGGAGGTGGAGGTTGCAGTGAGCCAAGATCGCACCATTGCACTCTAGCCTAGGTAACAAAAGCTAAACCTTATCTCGGAAAAAAAAAAAAAAGAAAAAAAAGTAACCATTACCGGAAAAAGACAACATTTGGACACTTAACTTCATGACATTGACACCTAACAGGTTTTATTTCCCGATCACACATTTGGGGCGAATCTTGACCTACACTGGATTTCCACATTGTGCTGGTGGTTCTCACCCTGCAGCAATATTTGGCAGAGTCTCTTGTTCTCTTGCTCTGCTTGCCAGTGTTGAGTTTATCTCACCCAGAAGAGAGTATCCTGAAAATGGATATGTAACTGGAATTTTGGGTAAGATAAATATTTTCAAGGTTATCTGAAGACATCATAGAAGTAATATTCTTGGACAGTGAATAATTTATTCACTGTATTTCAGTGCTTCTCAAAAGTTGTGGACCCCAGCCTACAGTAAACAAGACATTTTAGGCTGGGCACGGTGACCTACGCCTGTTATCCAGCACTTTGAGAGGCTGATGTGGGAGGATTGCTTGATCCCAGGAGTTCGAGACCAGTCTGGGTAACAAAGTGAGGCCCTGGCTCTGAAAAAAATGAAAAAAATAGCTGGGCATGATGGTGCACACCTATAGTCCCAGATGTACAGGAGGCTGAGACAGGAAGATTGCTTGAGCCCAGGAGGTAGAGGCTGCAGTGAGCTATCATGGTGCCACTGCACTTCAGCCTGGGTGACAGAGCGAGACCCCGTCTCAAAGAAAAACATTTTTTTTTAACATCACCCAGTACAGCCGGGCGCGGTGGCTCAAGCCTGTAATCCCAGCACTTTGGGAGGCCGAGACGGGCGGATCACGAGGTCAGGAGATCGAGACCATCCTGGCGAACACGGTGAAACCCCGTCTCTACTAAAAATACAAAAAATTAGCCGGGCAAGGTGGCGGGTGCCTGTAGTCCCAGCTACTCGGGAGGCTGAGGCAGGAGAATGGCGTAAACCCGGGAGGCGGAGCTTGCAGTGAGCTGAGATCCGGCCACTGCACTCCAGCCTGGGAGACAGCGAGACTCCGTCTCAAAAAAAAAAAAAAAAAAAAAAAAAAAAACATCACCCAGTACAATATGCACGTGTACAACTGACCCAAACATTTTGCAAAACATTAGTCACTGTTACTACACAAGATACATTCTGAAATTGTTTCCTAATCCCTGCTTGTGAAAACGCTGGTTGCAACTCACAAAGATTGATTTCATGACTCATTTATAGGTCTCAGCCCACAGTTTGGAAACAGGACACCAATGTCAACATTTTATCCAACAAGATGTCTCTGTTTCAATTTTACTTATTGTGTCTTTAATGCCATTTAACTGCCTACATATCACATCCTATGTAGTGGAGAAAATCTGGTCCCTGTGATAGACAATGAGAGACAGTTACTGTTCTAGACTCTGTGGAAAAAAATAGTAAGGAAAATTCACCTCAGCTTTATGCTTCTACCGCCAGCGTCTGGGACTGATAAACTAGAGGTTTTCTGCACGGTAACCTTTGCTCTATGGTAGAATTTTTGAGAGAGTGAGGCAGACTTTTTTTTCAGCTCTTTCTTCCCATATACCTTCAAAGTTCTTTTAGTTTTAATTTTTGTTTCCTTCTCTTTGCATCATCTCCTTTCTCTGACTACTCACAAAGAGATATTCAGATCCACAAAACAAAGACTTAAATTACTTACAATCTGGCCAGGCACGGTGGTTCATGCCTTGTAATCCCAGCACTTTGGGAAGCCAAGGCAGGAGGATCACTTGAGCCCAGGAGTTTCTTTTCTTTTTTTCTTTTTTTTTTTTTTTTTGAGACGGAGTCTCACTCTGTCGCCCAGGCTGGAGTGCAGTAGCGCGACCTTGGCTCGCTGCAACCTCCACCTCCCAGGCTCAAGCGATTCTCTTGCCAGAGTAGCTGGGATTATAGGCACACCACCACACCCGGCTAATTTTTGTATTTTTAGTAGAGATGGGGTTTTGCCGTGTTGGCCAGGCTGGTCTCGAATTCCTGACCTCAGGTGATCTGCTCACCTCAGCCTCCCAAAGTGCTGTGATTACAGGCATAAGCCACCACGCCTGGTCAAACCCAGGAGTTTCAAACCACCATGTGCAACATAGGGAGACCCCATCTCTAAAAAACAAATAAATAATAAGCGGGCATGGTGGTGTATGACTGTAGTCCCAGCTACTTGGGAGGCTGAAGTGGGAGGCTGAAGTGGGAGGCTGAAGTGGGAGGCTGAAGTGGGAGGCTTCCTTGAGCCTGGGATGTTGTGGCTGCAGTGAACCATGATCACACCTCTGCACTCCAGCCTGGGCCACAGAGCAAGACCCTGTCTCTAAAAAATATGCATATATATAATAAAATAAATGACTTAAGATCTATATCCTCCTTTAGTTGATGTTCTCTCAGCTAACAACCCCTAGGCCAGCTGTAGTCCCAGATATTCAGGAGGCTGAGGCAGGAGGATTATTGAGCCCAGGAGGTTGAGGCTGCAGTGAGCCATGATTGTGCCATTGCACTTCAGCCTGGGTGACAGAGTGAGACCTTGTCTCAAAAAAAAAAATTTTTTACATCACCCAGTACAATATGCACATGTACAACTGACCCAAACGTTTTGCAAAACAGTCACTGTTACTACATGAGATACATTCTGAAAATTTTTTCCTAACAAGGGACAGCAGGACAAATTGAGAGCAAAGGACGCAATAGCACACAAGAGAAGGTAAGTAGAAGAAAGGAGCAGGGGCAGCATCGTATGGGCCAGCGCTGGTTGAATTTGCTGGCTATTCCTTCCCGTGAGGCCTTTCTGCTAGGCTGGCAAAGCCTGATGAGAAAGCCAGTTCTGCACCCTGCCCTGTGCTGGCCACTTTCACCTGGTGCTTTGTACCCTGCGGCAGCCCTGGGCTCAGGGCAGGTGGGAGGGATTGTACTTTCCTTTCACTTTCTCAGGACGCCAAACCTGACACCTGGGGCCAGAACTACACTTCCCACCAAGCAGCGAGGCAGGAGGAAGAAGGGGGCACTGAGGGCTGAAAAGGAAAACCAGAAGAAAGAGAAAACATTACCTGCTGAGCAGCAGAGGTGAGAGAGCCGGACAGGTAAGTGACAGGTGAACCAGGAAGGCGAAGGTTGCGGGATGCCGGCGGGAGGACATCATCGGGGTGGACGCTGCCTGTGTCTCCCGGCAAGGCTTACAAGCTAAATGAAAGGGGGCTTTTGTGGAAACCCTGAGGACTCCAGAGGGTGAGGGGAGACATGGAAGTAAAGTCTCAGCTCAAGTTACAGTGATAAGACCAAGACACCGGAAGTGGAATGGCTGTCTTTAGTTGAAAAGTCAGACAGGAAAAAAGTGGTTGGCTTGTGTCTGTTGTCTGCTGGATCATCTACCCATATTGATTTCAGAGAGGTCCAAGAGAGGTATGGGATCCTTCTTCATCGCCTTAAAGCCCTGGGTTTTTGCATGCAGATTGGACACTTGAGTGCATTTTAACTTGTGTGATGAGACAGACTGTCCTTGTCTATGACTTTAGAGAAAATCAGGGTAAAACAGAGAAGTGAAGAAGGATGTCACAAGGCAGGGGCAATTTGCAGCACATCAGATGTGATCATTAAGTGGGATCAGGTTTCAGTTACTTTTAGAGCTATTGGATGAGGAGTCCGAACACACTGTCATGAAGAACAGGTAAAGAAGATGGAGATATTCTCCTTGGGGAGATATTCTTGCTGCTTCAAATATCTGATGGGCTGTCATGTGGAACAGGAATGTGATGTGTCTTGGCAGAGTAAGGATAGCACTGAGCTAGACAGATGGAAACCTCATGGAGGGAGGTGTCAATCCCACAGAAGTGAGAACTGCCCAGTGTAAAATGGAAATTTTTCAGGAGGTAGTCAGTTCCTTGTGATCAGAGATATTTAAGCATAGGTGGACATTTAAGCCAGGGATGCTGATGGTGGGAGTAAAGTTTCAGGTAGGTGACTTGGTCAATTGGTGTTTTCCAAACCTGGCTCGTCATCAGAATCACCTGGGGAAGAGACAGCATGAGAGAGAAGAGGGGAGGGGAGGGGAGGGAAGAGAGAGAGAGGTTTTTGGTTTTGTGTTTTTGTTTGTTTGTTTGTGTTTTGAAATGGAGTTTCGCTCTTGTTGCCCAGGCTGGACTGCAATGGTGCAATCTTGGCTCACTGCAACCTCTGCCCTCTGGGTTCAAGCCATTCTCCTGCCTTAGCCTCCCATGTAGCTGGGATTATAGGTGCACGCCACCACACCCGGCTAATTTTTTGTATTTTTAGTAGAGATGGGGTTTCACTATGTTGGCCAGGCTGATCTTGAACTCCTGACCTCAAGTGATCCACCTGCCTCAGCCTCCCAAATTGCTGGGATTACAGGTGTGAGCCACTGCACCTGGCCTATTTCTTATGATTTTAATAAAGATTGGCAGGGGGTTGGGCGGGCGGTGGGGAGTCTCATTATGTTGCCCAGACTACTTTCAACCTCCTGGCATCAAGTGATCCTTCTGCCTCGGCCTCCCAAAGTGCTGGGATTACAGGCATGAGCGACTGCGCCTGGCACAGTAAATGTATTTTAAAGTTAAAAACACAAAACACAAAACCTGGCCCGGTGCAGTTTTGAGATCATACCACTGCACTCCAACCTGAGTGACAGAGCAAGACTCTGTCTCAAAAAAAAAAAAAAAAAAAAAAAAAGAATACTAAGAAATAATTTTTAAAAGAACAAGGTAAAATTAGTTTAGCAAGTCTGGGATAAGCTTCAAAAATATATTTTTTTCAATGACATTCCCAGATAATTCTGACCATCAGTTAGTTTGTGAAACACTGTCATTAGAAACCTTTATTTTCCAACCAGACACAGTGGCTCATGCCTGTAATCTCAACACTTTGGGAGGCCGAGGTGGGCAGATCGCCTAAGGTCAGATGACTGGAGTTCATAACCAGCCTGCTCAACATCGTGAAACCCCGTATCGACTAAAAATACAAAAATTAGCTGGGCCCGGTGGCAGGCGCCTGTAGTCCCAGCTACTTGGGAGGCTGAGGCAAGAGAATCGCTTGAACCAGGGAGGCCGAGGTTGCAGTGAGCCAAGGTCACACCATTGCACTCCAGCCTGGGCAAGAAGAATGAAACTCTGTCTCAAAAAAAAAGAAGGAAATATATATTTTTCAATGATACTCACAGATAATTCTGATAATCAGTTAGTTTGTGAAACACTGTCATTAGAAACCTTAATTTTCCAGCAGTACGTGGTGGCTCAGGCCTGTAATCCCGGCACTTTGGGAGGCTGAGGTGGGTAAATCACTTGAGGTCAGGCATTCAAGACCAGCCTGACCAACATGGTGAAACCCTGTCTCTACTAAAAATACAAAAATTAGCTGAGTGTGGTGGTACAGGTCTATAGTCCCAGCTACTCGGGAGGCTGAGGCAGGAGAATCATTTGATCTGGAAGGCAGAGGTCACAATGAGCTGAGATCATGCCATTGCACTCCAGCCTGGGTGACAGAGCAAGACTCTGTCTCAAAAAAAAAAGAAAAAGAAAAAAAAAACCTTTGGTAAAACATGCCATAACCAGGCTTTGGTAAAATATGCCATAACATTATAGCCATGATTTTAATTTTGAATATTCTCAAAATCCTAATTTCCTGGTTGAAAAAATTAGGCTCCAAACAAGACAAAAAAGCCGTGTCACTCTTCTCCAAGTTGACTTACCAATCACTGCTTATCAGTCCTTGTTGCTGGCTGCCTGGATGGTCAACATTTTTGTTTTTGTTTTTGTTTTTGTTTTTTTTTGAGACGGAGTCTCGCTCTGTCACCCAGGCTGGAGTGCAGTGGCCGGATCTCAGCTCACTGCAAGCTCTGCCTCCCAGGTTCACGCCATTCTCCTGCCTCAGCCTCCCAAGTAGCTGGGACTACAGGCGCCCGCCACTATGCCTGGCTAATTTTTTTTGTATTTTAGTAGAGACGGGGTTTCACTGTGTTAGCCAGGATGGTCTCGATATCCTGACCTTGTGATCCGCCCATCTCGGCCTCCCAAAGTGCTGGGATTACAGGCTTGAGCCACCGCGCCCAGCCTTGTTTTTGGTTTTTTTTTTTTTGAGATGGAGTTTCACTCTTATTGCCCAGGCTGGAGTGCAATGGCGTGATCTCAGCTCACTGCAACCTCCGCCTCCTGGGTTCAAGGGATTCTACTGCCTCAGCCTCCCAAGTAGCTAGAATTACAGGCATGAGCCACCACATCCAGCTGATTTTATATTTTTTGTAAACACGGGGTTTCTCCATGTTGGTCAGGCTTGTCTCGAACTCCCAACCTCAGGTGATCCACCCACCTCAGCCTCCCGAAGCACTGGGATTACAGGCATGAGCCACCGTGCCTGGCCTGGATGGTCAGCCTTATAGCAGTTGGGAGTCTTTCTCCCCAGGTGAAATTGACACTGGTGGGACGTCCAATGGCAGGTGAGTCACTGCTGTAAGCATTTCCTCTGCCATCCTCCTGCTCTCCAGGCACTCTGATGGAGCATGTGGCACCTCATCTCTAGGCCTAGGATATATCACTGCTTTTATCTGATGGTGTTGACCGTCCACTGGACCCACCAGAGAATGGCAGTAGAAACTCTTTATTCCAAGAGCACCCCTAAAGTAAGATCAACACATGTAAGGTAGATGTCCGCTTATGGGGGCAACTCCTCTGTGCCTAACTAGCATCATTAGCATCATCCTCTCACAAGAATGTAGCGCTGTGAAGGTAATGACCTCCCTCCGTCTTGTCTTGTACTGGATCCCCAGTTCCTGGTGCTGAATTCCATCCTTTCTACCTAGCTCTGTTCTAGGTGGCAAGAACCATGCACTTCTCCGGCTCAGCAAGGGCAGCAGATGAGAACTTTGACTATTTGTTCAAGATTATCCTCATTGGGGATTCCAATGTGGGGAAGACGTGTGTGGTGCAGCATTTCAAGTCTGGAGTCTACACGGAGACACAGCAGAACACGATTGGAGTGGACTTTACCGTGCGCTCCCTTGATATTGATGGCAAGAAAGTGAAGGTCAGAGGGCACTGGGACGGGACTGATTCCACCTTTTTTTTTTTTTTTTTTTGAGACGGAATCTTGCTCCGTTGCCCAGGCTGGAGTGCAGTGGTGTGATCTCGGCTCACTGCAAGCTCCACCTCCCAGGTTCACGCCATTCTCCTGTCTCAGCCTCCCAAGTAGCTGGGAGTATAGGTGCCCACCACCACGCCTGGCTAATTTTTTTTTTTTTTTTTGGATTTTTAGTAGAGACAGGGTTTCACCGTGTTAGCCAGGATGGTCTGGATCTCCTGACCTCGTAATCTGCCCGCCTTGGCCTTCCAAAGTGCTGGGATTATAGGTGTGAGCCACTGTGCCCAGCCAGTTCCACCTTTTTTAGCCAGAATTCCCAGCAACAAAGCACATGTCTGAGCGATAAAATATTTCAATACAAAACATGAAATCATACAAATAGTGGAAGAAAACGTGGGAGTATTTATTTTTCTCATCATGGAATGGGAAAATCAGGCTTTAAATGAGACACGAATCCAGAAGCCAATAAAAAAAATATTGCTGAATCTAACTATGAAGCTCAAATTTATACATTTCTCTAACTATATAAAGGTCAAATTGGCTTTTATTTATTTATTTATTTATTTATTTTGCGGGGGGAGGGGATAGACAGGGCTTTTTGTTTTTGTTTTTTTGAGGCAGAGTCTCACTCCATCACCCAGGCTGGAGTCCAGGAGCGCAATTTCAGCTCACTGCAATCTCTGCCTCCTGGGCTCAAGCAATTCTCATGCCTCAGCATTCCAAGTAGCTGGATTTACAGGTGCACACCACCACGCCTGGCTAAGTTTTGTATTTTTAGTAGAGAGAGGGTTTCACTATGCTGGCCAGACTGGTCTCAAAGTCCTGACCTCAAGTGGTCCACCTGCCTCTACCTCCCAAAGTGCTGGGATTACAGATGTGAGCTACCACACCCAGCCTGAGACAGGGTCTTGTTCTGTCACCCAAGCTAAAGTCCAGTGGCATGATCACAGCTCACTCCAACCTCCATCTCCCTGGCTCAAGCGATCCTCTCACCTCAGCCTCCTGAATAGCTGGGATCACAGGTGCACCCTACCATGCCCAACTCATTTTTTAAATTTGTTGTAGAGATGGGATTTTCCTGTGTTGCTCAGGCCAGTCTCAAACTCCAGGGCTCAAATCCTCCCACTTCACCCTCCCAAAGTGCTGGGATTACAGGCATGAGCCACCATGCCTGTCCTTAAAAGGTCAAATGTTCTAGCGGCCAGGCAAGGTGGCTCACACTTGTAATCCTAGCACTTTGGGAGGCCGAGGCAGGTGGATCACTTGAGGTCAGGAGTTCAAGACCAGCCTGGCCAACATGTTGAAACCCTGTCTCTACTAAAAATACAAAAATTAACCAGGCGTGGTGGCAGGCACCTGTAGTCCCAGCTACTCAGGAGGCTGAGGCACAAGAATCTCTCAAACCTGGGAGGCAGAGGTTACAGTGAGCCGAGATCATACCACTGCACTCCAGCCTAGGCAACAGAGTCTCAAAAAAAAAAGAAGTCAAATTTTCTATGTACTGAAAAATGCCATAAACTGCCAGGCACGGTGGCTCACGCCTGTAATCCCAGCACTTTTGGAGGCCAAGGCAGGAGGATTACTCAAGGTCAGGAGTTCAAGACCAGCCTGGCCAACGTGGTGAAAACCTGTCTCTACTAAAAATACAAAAAATTAACTGGGCGTGGTGGCACACGCCTGTAATCCCAGCTGCTCGAGAGGCTTAAGGCATGAAAATTACTTGAACCCAGGAGACAGAGGTTGCAGTGAGCCAACATCACACCATTGCACTCCAGCCTGGGAGTCAGCGAGACTCTGTCTCAAAAAGATAAAATAATAAATAAAAAGTTTAAAAATTTAAAAATACCTCAAAGAAATCAACAGAAAGGGCTAGATGAAACAAGTAACAAAATCTCATTAATTATTAAATCTGGATGATAGGTGCATGAGGGGTTTTTTTAATTTTTTTTGAGACAGGGTCTCACTCTGTTGCCCAGATGGAGGGCAGTGGCGCATGATCTCAGCTCACTACAGCCTCAACCTCCTGTGCTCAAGGGATCCTCCTGCCTCAGTCTCCCAAGTAGCTGGGACTACAGGCATGCGCCGCCATGCCCAGCTAATTTTTGTATGTTTCATAGAGATGGGGTTTCACCATATTGCCAGACTGGTCTCAAACTCCTGAGCTTAAGCAATCCGCCACCTCAGCCTCCCAAAGTGCTGGGATCATAGGCATGAGGCACTGCACCCAGCCTCATTTTTCTATTATCTCTAGCTTTGGTGTATGGTTTGCAAACTTTCTCTAAAAAATAAATTTTATATAAATAGTGTGAGAATATGAAGAAATTGTTACCCTCAGACACTGTGAGAGGCTGTGTGAATTGGTGCTGCCGCTTGGGTGGCTAATTTGGGAGGCATTATTGTGAGGACATTCCAGACATGAACAGCTTGAGTGTTCCTTTAAAATCAAAACAGTTCGGCCAATATTATCGCCTTTGCCAGTGTTCAGATCCATGGGCAGGCTCAAAAGATGAGTCCCCAAATCTGGACCACGTGATGAATCAGGTGAAAAGGCAAAGAACACAAGACCCCAGAATAAAATAGGTCCGCCTCTCGGACAGCAGCATCCCTTCAATCAGGGCTGTCCAAGCTTCTGGTTTCCCTGGGCCATGTTGGAAGAAGAATTATCTTGGGCCACACATAAATTACACTAACACTAATGATACCTGATGAGCTAAAAAAAAAAAAAAAAAAAAAAATTGCAAAAAGATCTCATAATATTTTAAGAAAGTTTAAAAATTTGTGTTGGGCCACATTCCAAGCCGTCCTGGGCCAAATGTGTCCCGCGGGTTGCAGAATGGACAAGTTTGTCTTAGATGGTAGTTCCCCAGCCAAGGAGGATACCCAAGTCATCCAGTGAAAAATTGAAAGAATAGATTCCTGCATCCTACTCCAGATCTACTGGGTCTGAATATCTAGAAGTGAGACCCAGAAAACTGTGTTTTTAAGACAATGTAGGTGAAGGAGTTCCCATTACCTGTGGGAACCCCTGATTTGGACTCCCTTTCCTGTCCTTCTCTAGATGCAGGTGTGGGACACAGCTGGCCAGGAGCGCTTTCGCACCATCACCCAAAGCTACTACCGCAGTGCCCACGCGGCCATCATCGCCTATGACCTCACCCGGCGGTCCACATTTGAGTCCGTCCCTCACTGGATTCATGAGATAGAGAAATATGGAGCTGCAAATTTGGTCATTATGCTGATTGGTATGGCATTTTTGAAGTTTTTAACTTTGGTTTACTCTCCTCTGAGGATGCTCAGCTTTCTGAGTGTTTCTGATGGCAGTGGAAAATGAAATCTTAAATGTGCAAGTGATGGATAGGGCTCCAGAAAGTGCCTTTAAACTGGATCCCACCATGCCCAGTCCCTTTTTTTTTTTTTTTTTTAAATTTTTGTAAAGATGGGGTTTTGCCTTGTTGCCCAGGCTGGTCTTGAACTCCCGGGCTCAAGTGATCCTCCTGCCTGGCCCTCCCAAAGTGCTGGGATTACAGCATGAGCCACTGTGCCTGGCCCTTTGTTTTTATTTTTGACAATCTCTACTGCAGAGTGAACAGGTGAGTTTTGTTTTTTACTTGTTTATGGGAATCTAGTAGGTATATATATATTTATTGGGTACAAGTGGGTTTGTTTGTTTGTTTGTTTTTGAGATGGAGTCTTGCTCTGTCACCCAGTCTCGAGTGCAGTGGCGCGATCTCAGCTCATTGCAAGCTCCGCCTCCTGGGTTCATGCCATTCTCCTGCCTCAGCCTCCCGAGTAGCTGGGACTACAGGTGCCTGCCACCACGCCTGGCTAATTTTTTTGTACTTTTAGTAGAGACGGGGTTTCACCATGTTAGCCAGGATGGTCTCGATCTCCTGACCTTGTGATGCCCCCACCTCGGCCTCCCAAAGTGCTGGGATTACAGGCGTGAGCCACCACTCCCGGCCACAAGTGGATTTTTAAAAAGAAAAAAGAAGAGTCAATTTATAAGTGTTTACCAATAATGTACATTAAAATACATAAACTAGGTGGGGCGCGGTAGCTCATGCCTGTAATCCCAGCACTTTGCTTGAGCCCAGGAGATTGAGACCAGCCTGAGCAACATGGCGAAACCTCATCTCTACAAAAAATAAAAAAAATTAGCCGAGTGTGGTGGTGTGCACCTGCAGTCCCAGCTACTCAGGAGGCTGAGGAGGGAGGATTGCTTGAGCCCAGCAGGCAGAGGTTGCAGTGAGCTGATTATACCATTGCATTCCGTATAGGTATCCAGTTTTCCCAGCACCATCTATTGAAGAGACTGTCCTTTCTCCAACATGTGTTCTTAGCACCTTTGTTGAAAGTGACTTTATTGTAGATGTATGGATTTATTTCTGTATTCTGTATTCTGTTCCATTGGTCTATGTGTCTGTTTTTATCAGTACCATACTGTTTTGGTTACTATAGTTCTATAGTATAACTTGAAGTCAGGCAATGTGATTTCTCGAGGTTGGTACTTTTTGCTTAGGATATCTTTGGCTATTCTGAGTCTTTCATGGTTCCATAGAAATTTTAGGATAATCTTTTCTATTTCTGTGATGAATGTCTTTGGGCCAGGTGTGGTGGTTCATGCCTGTAATCCTAGCACTTTGGGAAGCGGAGGCAGGAGAATAGCTTGAGACCATCCTGGTCAACATAGTGAGACCTCATCTCTACAAAAACTAAAACAAAATAAAATAGTGAGATGTGGTGGGAGGTTGGGGTGGGGGGATCACTTGAGCCCAGGAATTTGAGGCTGCAGGGAGCTGTGATCATACCACTGCACTCCAGCCTGGGTGAGAAAGCAAAATCTTGTCTCTTAAAAAAAATAAATAAATAAATAATAAAAGGAAACAGTTATGTCGTAGTAGAGCAAAGATGGGAGAGCTGTGCCATGGCATACAAAGGGCTGGGGTGGACAGGCAGGTGCAGCCCATGCCCTCCAGGGGCAGAAGGAAACTCAGCAATGGTGACTCCTAGAAAAGGGCGGAATAGCATGCATCTCACCTGGGAATGAAGCAGTTCTAAGCCACATGTGGTTTCCCCAGGAATGTGGACCAGCTCTACCTTTTTATTAAGGTCATGCATCTCCAGGACACAATGGAGGCAGTTCTTCCTCATGGCTGAAGGGGAAGCTGTCCAACCTCAGGTGCCTCCCTCTGTGCTACCTTCTCTCTTTTTGATATGGAGTCTTGCTCTGTTGCCCAGGCTAGAGTGCAGTGGCGTGACCTTGACTCACTGCAATCTCCGCCTCTCAGGTTCAAGCAATTCTCCTGCCTCAGCCTCCCGAGTAGCTGGGATTACAGGCTCCCACCACCACCCTCAGCTAATGTTTGTATTTTTAGTAGAGACAGGATTTCACCATGTTGGCCAGGCTGTTCTGGAACTCCCGACCTCAGGTGATCCACCCACCTCGGCCCCCCAAAGTGCTGGGATTACAGGCATGAACCACCACACCTGGCCCCTCTGTGCTATCTTTGAAGGCAGCTCCCTGTCTCCAGCCCACGAGCCCCCAGCTGCCTCTCCCCCAGCCAGCTCCATCTTTAACTAGTCACTCTGTGAAACAGATGCATCAGAGAAGGGTGACAGATGCCAGGATGTCGCAGGATTTCCGGGAGTCTCAGAATGTTTTCTTGATATTTTTACCCTAGTCTGTCTTTCATAACAACCATCTCTGCCTCACTTCTTCCTTGGTTCTAGAAATACCCCCAAAGATGACCTGGAGTGTTGCAGTCTCCCAGTTTATAAGGTGTCCCTGTCAGAGGGCTGACACAGGGGCCTTCCTGTCTTCTGTACGTGGCCTCCCCGCCTGAATCCAGAAAAATTTATGTCATCCCTCACGGAAGTGTCCCTGCACATATTGCCTCATACAGGTGCTTCTTTCTGTCTCAGAAGTTTATCCCCAGCTCCTTGAAGCTACTTCATCAGCACAGGAATGACCCCAGTGCCAGTAGTTGATTGCATGTTGATTTGTACAGCTCTTCCTCCTCTAGCTGGCCACAGGGGGCCCGACTCCTCCTGATGGCCCCATGTAAAACCCTCAAAGGCCCCCATTTCCCTTAGAATAATGCACATATTCCTGAACATGGTTCATAAGGTACTTCAGGTCCCAGCCCTGCTTTCTTCTGGGCATGGCTGGCTTCCCATCTTTCTCCCACCCCCACTCCATCGCAGCAAGGGCTTTAGGAGGTGACCTCATTTTTATTTATTTATTTATTTAATTTTTTTTTTTTTTTTGAGATAGGGTCTTGCTCTATTGCCCAGGCTGGAGTGCCGTGGTGCAGTCTCGGCTCACTGCAACCTCTGCCACCAGGGTTCAAGTGATTCTCCTGCCTCAGCCTCCCAAGCAGCTGGGATTACAGGCACCTGCCACCATGCCTGGGTAATTTTTTTTTTTTTTTTTTTTTTTTTTTGAGACGGAGTCTCGCTCTGTCGCCCAGGCTGGAGTGCAGTGGTGCAATCTCGGCTCACTGCAAGCTCCGCCTCCCGGGTTCACGCCATTCTCCTACCTCAGCCTCCCCAGTAGCTGGGACTACAGGCGCCCGCCACTGCGCCCGGCTAATTTTTTTCTATTTTTTAGTAGAGACGGGGTTTCACCATGGTCTCGATCTCCTGACCTTGTGATCCGCCCGCCTCGGCCTCCCAAAGTGCTGGGATTACAGGCGTGAGCCACCGCGCCCGGCCGCCTGGGTAATTTTTGTATTTTTAATAGAGACAGAGTTTCACCGTGCTGGACAGACTGGTCTCAAACTCCTAACCTCAAGTGATCCATCCGCCTCGGCCTCCCAAAGTGCTGGGATTGTAGTGAGCCGGCCATTTTTATAGGTTATCCTGGATGCTCTGTCTCATAACTTTCTTCAGCATCTGATATTTGTCCCTCTAAGGATCTTAGCCAAACCTTCTGCTTAAAGTCCTGTTATATTTACAGGTCCACAGTCACTCAACAAAAACCCTCAGCAGGGTATTTTTCAAATATTTCAGAGTTCAGAATTTGTCAGATTTTAGAAAAGTGTACTCTGTGTTACATAACACCCTCAGCAGGGTCTGGGCCAATGCCCCATGGCCAAATACATTACTATTTATGCAGTCAAATGTATAAATAGTCATACAGAACAGATTGAATAAAATCTTCAAGGCTGGGCGCAGTGGCTCACGCCTATAATCCCAGCACTTTGGGAGGCCGAGGCGGGCGGATCACTTGAGGTCAAGAGTTTGAGACCAGCCTGGCCAACATGGTGAAACCCCGTCTCTATTAAAAATACAAAAAAAATCAGCCAGGCATGGTGGTGAGTGCCTGTAGTCCCAGCTACTTGGGAGGCTGAGGCATGAGAATCACTTGAACCCAAGAGGCGGAGGTTGCAGTGAGCCAAGAGCGCACCACTGCACTCCAGCCTGGGTGACAGAGCGAGATTCTGTCTCAAATAAATAAATAAATAAATAAATAAATAAATAAATAAATAGCTGACTCAGTGGTATATACCTGTAGTCTCAGCTACTCCAGAGGCTGAGGTGGGCAGATCACTTGAGGCTAGGAGTTCAAGGCTGAAGTGAGCTATTACTGAGCCACTGTGCTCCAGCCTAGGTAACAGATGGAAACTCTATCTCTAAAAAAAAAAAAATAATAAAACAAAAAAGTCAAAATCCACAGATGAAGCAGGATGCAGGGAGTAGATCAGATTCCTGGCTGCAGAGGTTCCTTTTCCCACCACATCCCTTCCTCCACCAGGGGCTCTCATTCCTTTCTTCTAGAAGCAGAGCTCAGCCCTGAGCTTCAGGCTCACCAGCTAAAAACACGCGCATGCTTCTCCTGAAGGTGCGTGCTATACAAGCTTCCTATGGCTGCTGTAACCAGCTGCCACAAGCTGGGGGCTGAAAACAACAGATGTGTTCTCCCACTGTTCTGGAGGCTACAAGTCTGAAATCAGTCCTGCGGGGCTGAAATGGAGGTGTTAGCAGGGCTGTGCCCCTCTGGACGCTCTAGGGGAGACTCGGTCCCTCACCTCCTCTGGCTTCTGGTGCAATCTTTGGCTTTGTGTGCCTCTGCCTTCACATCATGTTCTCCTCCCTGTGTGGGATCAAGGCTCCTTCTGCCTCCACCTTGTAAGGATACTTGCGATTGCATTCAGGGCCTGCCCAGCTAATCCAGAATAATCCCCCCATCTCAAGATCCTCAAATTAATCACACCTGCAAAGACCCTTTTAGCATTGACAG